TCCTCGCATGGTACATGCGGAACATCTTCTGGATGAGCACGGCCAGCTCGCTGATCCGCAGGCGGCGAAACTGCTCCAGCTCATAGACGGTGCGCGGACTACGCACGAACACATTCTTGGTGCCAATTGTAAATTCCGCCGAGGGCAGCGGCAGATTGCGAATGATCAGGGCGATGCCCTCCACCTGACTGCCGCCGTGAAAGTGAGGCCAAGTGAGGCTGTTGAGCAGCTTGTAGCGGTGAAAGAACTTGACATGCAGCAGGTGGTAGCAATGCCCCGTGCGGCACAGGTGGACCAGCGGCATCAGCGACATGTAGCGCACCTGGTGCTGCACCAACGCCATGTCAAACTGGTGCGGCTGCTTGCCCTCGTTGGGCTTGATGCAGAACACATAGTGGGAGCGACGATGCTTAACGATGGCCAGCAGCGTCTGCAGCTGGGTACGGATGTTCGAGCTCAGCGTGCTGGGCTTTTTGGTGGCCTGCCGACGGGGATTGCCCTCGGGAAAGAGGCTCTGAACCAGAGAAAGTTTACTCTGGTAGAAGGCAGCACTGATAAACTTTGGCAGCATGTCCGAGTTCTTCTCGAGGAACCGATGAATTGAGTAGTTAACTACACTGGCGAAATGGCGAATTCTGTAAAGATAATACAATGAATCTCTATTTATCCCAAGTTAACTAATCTTTGAAACCCACTGAAAGCTCATTGAGTTGCTGCCAGTGGTCATGAAGTTGGGATGCCCGGCACAACATTGCTGAACTCGCGAAAGCAGAGCTTCGTTGCTGTTCAGATGGGATTCGTTGATCAAGCTCAGGATACCGTAGCTGGGCTTGTCTATCAGCTCGCAAATTGACTCGTTGTCGAAATAGTCAATCCGGGACCACTCCAATCCCTCGCGGATATAAAGTTCCTGCTCTGAGCGCAGAACATGAAAAACGAAGTTCTGAAAAAGAATAAAGGTTTAGTTTATTACTTATAATTCTGGTTAATCATTGTATACTTGCCTGATGGATCTTTTCCGCGCTGTAGTTAATAGCAAACTGCTCAAAGGAGTTGTGCTCCAGCACTTCGAATCCATAGAAATCCAACAAAGCCAAGTTCTTCTCGCGCTGTGTGGACTTAAGGGACTCGTTGATTTTGTTCACCAGCCACGTGAAGAGGCGACTGTAGAGAGTGCGACAGAGTGTGTTTCGGTTGATGGCCGCTTGCCTGGCATCCATTTCGCAGCCCACATCCTCCTGAGCGCTGTTCGAACTATTCGCTCTGGTCAAACAGTTGATCAGAATTTGGGCCTCTATATTGAGAAGCTGTGCTGTCTCTTGAACCTCTGTACATGTGAAATGGTTAATATTTTATTAATTATTTAAATCTTTTAGAACTTACCATAAACATTGGACACCTGACAACCCTCCGTTCCATCAATGTTGGTGATGGGTACGAAAATAAAGTTACCCAACTTCAGCACAACTGCGATGACCCGAAAAATGGAGTTACTTTCCTCACAACTGAGGCCCAGTACATCCAAAGATCTCTGTAATAAGTTGGCAATGTATTAGCTATAATAAACATAATATTTTTAGTGAATATCCAACCTTGGTATAATGAAAATTCATGCGGTCCTCCTCCATGGCAGTTGTGTTCCGTAGAAGCTCGTACTTTTCCACATTCCGATACAGCTTGAGCGATTCTGTAAAGTTTATACATTTTAGGTATAAATTCAAATAAGTTTAAATTATAAATTTCTTACTTAACAACTGGAGATCAGCTCCCAATAGTAACTGGTAAAATATGTGAAAATTTCGCTCTCCAATTATAGTATCCGTTATGCGGGTCTGTGAACACAAAAACAAATATTAAAATACAAATAAAACAGCTTAAACGATGAATACTAAGGCAAACCTTTTCCAACATATCTTAAGAGAAAGCACGAATAAAATACAATGTGTTATATTATTTTTTCTTTATCTGCTAGGTGTTTTACTTACAGTGAGTTATGTGCACTCCCATTGGATCGCCCTTAAAATCAATTTCTATATCAAATAATTTGCCCTGAAAATGAAAAGAGGGAAATATAGATGATTATACAAATTAAATTAAGATTTATAAAATATGTATCAAGTATTACACTCACATATCGACTGGAGTTGTTGTTCTTCAGCGTGCAGGCATTGCCCATGGCCTCCAGGAAGACATCCGCGCAGGTGACGCACTCGCGCATCCTTTGCGTGGGCGACTTGTGGCGCCTGTGCAGCGACGAGCTGGCCGACGGCGTGGGCGAAACGGAGCTGGGCGGCGGGGGCGGCAGATCGCCGAGGATCGCCTTGCTCAGCTTGTGTGCATCGTACAGCGAAATACGTTGCGTGGACCCCATGAGGGAGCTGCGATCCCGTTCCCTTTCCGGCTGACTCTCCGTGGAGTGCTGGCGCATCAGGTTGGAGCAGCTGCCGCGATGTGGATGCTGAGCCGGCTGAACGGTGGCTAGGCGGCAGGTGCTGCCACGCAGCTCATCCCGCTCCTCCTTCTCCAGGCTCTGGGCACGCACGCACTTGCTGTGTCCGCACTGGCGACAGCCGGAGTAAACGGAGGGCACAGCATACTTGGGCGAACCCTTGGCACCCACTTGGGTCTGCTGGTGCTTGAAGCACGACTTGGTCGGATGCAAGTGGTGGGTGGCCTGCGACTCGAGCAGCTGGCTGGTGATGTTCTCGCTGCTCTTGTGGTGCGAGAAGTCAAAATCGACGATCTTCTCGCGCATGTGGCGCCTGCTCTGGCGCTCGATGCTCTCGGCCCGCGTCCGCGAACGCTGCGAGGGTCCTGGCGAGGGACTCTGTCGCCGTGACAGAGTGGCCGGCGGATTCTCCGCCCGGTTCTTGCATATAATAAAGTTGGCAGTGCCGGAGCAGCTGCTGGAGGCGCGCCTGTGGGCGTGCGTCACCAGCCCGCTGGCCGAGCTGGTCGAGGATTGCTTGCGCAGGACATTCGGAGTGGCGGGCGGGCAGTGCGAGCGATCCTGTATGTGGGTGAGAAAGTTCACGATCATTTTGAAGGTCTCAGTCTTGCCCGCACCGCTCTCGCCGGTGAGCAGGATGCACTGGTCCTCGCTCTGGTCCTTGAGCGACTGGTAGGCCAGGTTGGTGAGGCCGTAGCTAAAGTAAAAAATAAAGATGTAGATAGGAACTGAAGATAATAAAGATATCGTACATGTGTGGCGGCAGCTGAAAGATGCCCTTGTCGCCATAGTTGCGGACATTGTCCAGAGAGTGCTCGGATATGTGATGATATGGATTCAGAGCCACAACAGAAGTTCCAATGTAGGTCTGGAAAATGGGGAGTTTATAGGAATCTATAGTTCAAAGGACTTGCAGCACTCACATATATGTGATCGCGCTTGTAGCGCTGGTGGATGTTGTTTATGAAACTATCCTCGGACAGGTTCTCCAGCAGCACCGAGTCCCAGGTGCCGATTTCCTGCTCCATCGCGATTCCCTCCTCCAGCTCCAGCTCCAATTACAACAACATGCACATACAAATGAGAGCTCAGCACTGGCATTTGAATACATCAACTGCGAACGGGGCCAAAACGAGAACGGGAACGGCGGGAGGGGGTGGGGGGTTGGTTAATGGCTCCAACAATTGCATAATTTATCGCGGGCCTGCTTGCATCTGGGCGAATCCGTGTTTTGATTTTCTGATTCAATTATTGATTTTCATGTGGCTGGCGAGCAACAGCCTCGAACTCGTGTTCACGCAGATATAGTCGGCGGATCGGGTCCGGATCTCTACATCCGTGACTGCTGGACTCTCGACTGGCCTGCTGGGCCTCCGTTTTCGCGAATTATTGCCTCTACTCGCCACGATTTGCACATTTTGTTTACCTTTTTTTCAGAAAATACATTTGGCAGCCAGTGGGTACCAGTGGTGGCCCAGCCATCGATGACACAATCGGTGAGCTTCCGTGGCCAGTAATCGATTTGAATACCCTACGAAGGAGTTGTGTGACTTTGTAATCAGTTTTAAAATAAAATAAATTTAACTTATTTATAGCTTTAATTCTCTTTTGATCTGAAATACGATAATTCAATTTCCTTCTTTAATTTTTGAATTTAAAAAATTATTTTTTAACTAGGGTGAACCCCCTATGTTATTTCGTAAGGGTATTTATCAGCTTTGGTGTATATTTTTTAGATTAATTGGGCTCCCTAAGGAGGAGTTGTTTGACTTTTTTTATCACTTTTAAAATTAATTATACCCGTTACTCGTAGAGTAAAAGGGTATATTGTATTCGTGCAAAAGTATGTAACAGGGAGAAGGAAGCGTTTCCGACCCCATAAAGTATATATATTCTTGATCAGGATCACTAGCCGAGTCGATCTAGCCATGTCCGTCTGTCCGTCTGTCTGTCCGTCTGTCCGTCTGTCTGTCTGTATGAACGCTGAGATCTCAGAAACTATAAAAGCTAGAAGATTGGCATTTTGCGTGCAGATTTTAGGAGTTCCTACGCAGCGCAAGTTTGTTTCAAAATGGTGCCACGCCCCCTTTAACGCCCACAATCGCTTATATACGATTTTAAAAATTTTAATATTTTGGAAAAGTAAAAATGCAGTTTTATTGTGTTTATTAATACCTATCGAAATGTAGAAGAAATTTTTCAAATCGGACCAGTCGTTAAAAAGTTATGCGTGATCAACGTTTTCTATCTCTATCTCCATCTCCCTCGCACTCCCTTTACCTGAGTAACGGGTATCTGATAGTCGGGGCACCCGACTATAACGTTCTCTCTTGTTTTTTTCTCAGAAGATCTAAATTAAAATTATATGGTCGTTAACTCGATTAATTTCCTTTGTTTTTATATTTCTGAAATGATTTTTTAAACTATGTAATAACATGTAATTTTTGGGAGGGTATTAGCAGCTTCGGTGTTGAAAGTAATCGATTGGTTGGGGCCTTTAATGGGGCTCCCATCCCTATTTTATAGTATCCGTATATAAACATGCAAAAATGACGACCACCGACGAGCGAAACTTCAGATCCAGCTACTACGAGAAATGCCTGATCAACAGCGTCGAGGAGAAGAAGTCGCTGAACAAACTGCTCCAGGATGACATCCGCAACCTGAACAAGCTGAAGCAGTTCTGCATGAACTACACGGTGCCGAATATTCACAGGGGTTACCTGTGGGCCCTGGTAATGGGCATTCTGCCGCTCCACAAGGCCTCCACAGCCTATATACGCGACCAGAGGCGCGAGATGTACGAAGATCTGCTGCGTGCCGTCGTGGTGCTCCGGTGTGCCGAGCAGAAGGAGAAGGAGCTGGTCATGCACACAATGTGGCTGCTGGAGTCCAATCGCCTGTGGCACGGGAATGCCAATGCCAGTCTCCAGGCGGACGACATGCACTTTATCGAGATTGTGCGCACCCTGCTGCAGATATTCAACGACGACGTGGAGACCTACTGGATTGCCAAGGGATTCTACAAGTACACCCGCGAACTGAAGAAGGAGTGCGTCAAGCTGAAGGAGCAGACGCAGATTATGCTCAAGAGGGAGGATCAGTCACTGTTCAAGTGGGTTTTTATCTACCTAGTCCGTTATCCTAATTGATTCCTCGATTTTTCTTATAGCCACCTGGAGGAGCTGGGCCTGTTTGATGGCCACTCAACGCTGCTGGACAACTGGTACATTACCTGCTTTGCTGGCGTCATCTGCGAGACTGTCTTGGTCAAGATCTGGGACAAAGTCTGCGGCGGCTCCCGCAAAATAGTCGTTTTCCTGTTCGTCGAACTGGTCAAGGACATAAAGTCCCTGATACTCAAGCAGAAAACGCTGCCAGACGTGAAAAGACTGATAGAAACGGTAGGGAAAGCATAAATCCAATGATAAAACCCATAAGCCAATAGTAAATTATCCCCAGGTTAAGGATCTCGATGGCGTCATCGTAAACAAGGCCATCAAATCGCTGCAGAACAACAGCAGCGAAGTCGAGTACACTCACTAAGTAAATCTACATCATTTTTATATATTGGACATGTAAATAGCGAAATCAACTAAATGTATTTGAAGACCACGTCCTTCCTGTCGCCCACCGTCTGCAGCTCCAGCGTCACGGGGCACTGCATCCAGTAGGAGAGCAGCTCCTCCGTGTAGCCAATAAGGAAGTACATTTTGCGCGGGGTGATCGCCTGTCGGATGAGGGCCGCAATCCTAATGGTGTTGTGCTGCCGCTTGATGATGATCTCGGAGCAGACGAGGGCGTGCCAGGTGCCGGTGACGAACTTGCGGATGAACACATCCTCGATGGCGGTTTGCGACGGACGCAGGGCATCCTTCACCGTGGCTATAAAAGGGGCGTCATAATTATGAATCCTTAATAAACCTCTCCCCCAAAAACTTACATGTATTCCACGAGTTCCACGACTTGCGGTGGCCAATGAAATGCGGAGGATTGGCCATCTCGTAGGTGAGCGGCCTGTTCCGCTTTGTGGTTATGCGGTATCGCCCGGATTGCACGCGACAGCACACGGAGCTGGTGTGGATGCTCGACCGGCTGAGCTGCTGCACCTCGGCCGCCACCTGGGGCACCAACTGGGGGGGAAGTGGGGTGATTAATAATTAAGTTACATCCTTTCTTTTATTATTTAACTCACCTTTTTTAGGAAGTTCATTATTCCGGGCAGAAACAATTTGCGTCCAGCAACAGCTGATTGACGTGACGTAACGGTTCGCTAGAGGCGGGCACTCATTCGATATTCTTGTTATTAAATTTGTAGTTGCTAATTCTGTATTTATTTTAAATAATTTAATGAGGTGTAGATATAAAAAAAGGAAAACTGCAATATTACATTTTTACCATAAACCCAGATCTTGATATTCCACCCAAAAAAAAACCGTTTTTGGTTAAGGCAAAGGAAGGAAAAACCCCTAGCAAAAACTAAACATATTTTTTGAAATTCATATTAATTGTGAAGAAAACTGTTCTTATTTTTTTACATTTTGAAATTAAATTCTTATTTACTCAATAAATACAATTATTATTTTAAATTACGCGCTTACCAGTTGGATCTCGATAATATTGAACCACTATCGATATTTATTTGGCTTTCGAAGCACGGCAGTGTTGCCAAAACTCGCTTCCAAATTCTAGCTAGATCGGATTTAGCTAAATATATATAATTAATATCATGACTTTATCTAGTTTAATTAAAGTCCACAGCTAAATTGCCTAGTTAATTGATATTAATTGATTAATAAATGCCGCTATGTATTATTTAGGCAATGGTAATTCCATCGCCTTCATCAGTCCATGAACTTACCTGAATCTGGCTATAAAACAGCCTAATCGGCAACACTGGAGCGCTGAGCCTGCGCGCTTGGAAAATGGCTTAGGCATCTCGAACAAAGATCGAGGATCTGAGATTACTACCTGTTGGAGCGACCTTGCAACAGGACTCTTTCAGAAGCGACGCCCTAGGAAGGCCAAGCCCTCTTCCTGGAACTCCTGCTATTCGAATGCACTTATAGCAGAGGATCTATAGAACAAATACACCCAAAGTTATGACGCTGAACGAGAGCGACGCCACTCGTCTGGAGCTGACGCGCAACTTCCTGGAGCTGTCCCGCAACCCGGAGACATGCACCGCCCTGCGCAGCTCCGACTGCATCCAGCTGCTGGTGCAGATCCTGCACGCCAACGACGAGGGACTCGCCACGGCGAGGAAGTACGCCAGCCAGGCGCTGCACAACATCGTGCACAATCACCCGGAGGAGAAGGAGCGCCAGCGGGAGGTGAAGATGCTGCGCCTGCTCGACCAGATCCTCGACTACTGCAACTTTCTGCGCACCCAGCTGCAGAGCGGTGGCGAGGCCATTGCGGATGACGAGGATCGGCATCCTCTGGCGGCCATGAAGCTCCTGATGAAGGCCAGCTTCGACGAGGAGCACCGCCAGACCATGTGCGAACTGGGCGCCCTCAAGGCCATCCCCAATCTGGTGCATCTGGATCATGCGGTCCATGGACCCGCCGCCGGCAGGGAGCAGTGCAACGCCCTCAGGAGCTACGGCCTGATGGCTCTCACGAATCTCACCTTCGGCGACGAGAATGTCCACAACAAGTCTTATTTATGTGGCCAGCGGCAGTTCATGGAGGTGGTGATTGCCCAGCTGAACACGGCTCCGGATGAACTGCTTCAGGTGGGTCTACTTTAGGACTAGTTATTATCTAGCAAACTAGTTATTTATGTAAAATATTAAAAACATATGGAAATAGGTAAATAGTAGAGCCCTGCATGAATGGATTTAATAATTTATTTTGAATTTTTTTTTTATATGAATGAATTAATTAGAATTTTGAGTTTAACAGAATTGAATGAATTTGAATTTTGAGTTTAATAGAATTGAATGAATGAATGGCATGAATTACGAAGTAATTCAAACGATAATTTCTTTTGAAGAAGAAAGGGAAGAATCTGGCAGAATTTTATTTACTATGCAGTTAACATTGATTTGTTAAAAATGTTTCACTTTTTGTTCTTAAAAGAAAGCACAAAATAAATTCTTAAAAAGTATTCATTCAATTCGAAATGAATTAGAAAAACATTCAATTCATTTTACATAAAATTGAATTAAACAAATCAGTAATTTCATGGCATACTATGATAAAACAAAAATTGAAAGATTCACGCAGGGCTCTACTAGATATTCACGATCAGATATTTTTAATGCTTCATCTCCCTTAGGTCCTGGCTGGAGTGCTTCGCAATCTCTCGTGGCGCGCAGACAAGCATATGAAGACCATATTCAACGAACTGGGCACCGTGACCTCCTTAGCTCGAGCTGCAATGCAGAACAAGAGCGAGAACACCCTGAAGGCCATACTCTCGGCCCTCTGGAATCTCTCGGCGCACTGCAGCACCAATAAAGCCGAATTCTGCGCTGTGGATGGAGCCTTGGCCTTCCTGGTTGGAATGCTCAGCTACGAGGGACCGAGTAAAACCCTGAAGATCATCGAAAATGCGGGAGGAATCTTAAGGAACGTGTCCAGTCACATTGCAGTTTGTGAACCCTATCGGCAGATCCTGCGGCAATACAATTGCCTGGCCATTCTGCTGCAGCAGCTGAAGTCCGAGAGCCTGACGGTAGTGAGCAACTCCTGCGGCACGCTGTGGAACCTCTCGGCGCGCTGTCCCGAGGATCAGCAGTACCTCATCGACCACAATGCCATTCCACTGCTGCGCGCTTTGATTAGCTCCAAGAACTCTATGATTGCCGAGGGCAGTGCGTCGGCTTTGAAGAATCTGGTGAACTTTAGGGCCACCCTGGAGCTGATGCCCAATGGAGATGGTGGCTCCCTGCCGCTGGACAAGGATGCTGGCCATGGTGGCACTTTGCCACGGAGGTTCAGCTCGCTGCGTCTCAGCTCAAATCCCACGGGATCGCTGAAAAAGGTGCGACCCTCCACAGTCAGCACAACTGGCTTTCTGAACAGAAAGTGCGAGAGCCGCGAGTCCATTTACTCGGGCAAATCCGACTCTAAATACTCAACAAAATCCGAGGGTGCCAAGAATCCCTTTGAGATTGTCACACCCACGGAAGAGCAGCCCATCGACTATTCCATGAAGTACATGGAACACAAACCCAGTAGCAGTAAGACCTTTGAGATTGACTTGGACCAGCCCACGGATTTTAGTGCTAGATATAAGGAGAGACGATCCGCGCAGTCGGCACAGCCGGAGATAAAGACGGAGAGCAATGAGATTAGGAGCAATGACTTGACCAAGTCCTCCTCGGCCACGGAGCTGCGAAATGGTCCGGTAAATGTGACGGTTTCAGCAGCCAAGCAGAAACTTTCCACCGAAACGGAAACGGAAACGGCAGAGCGACCGATCAACTACTGCGAGGAGGGAACCCCTGGCAGCTTCAGTCGCTTCGACTCCCTCAACAGTTTGTCAGAGAAACCAGAAAAGTGTCTGACGCCCAAGACGCCAGCGAAACCGGCAGTTCAGCTGGGGCAACAAAACATTGACTCCGCGCTGGAAACTCCTCTGATGTTTTCGCGCCGCAGTTCAATGGACTCTCTGGTGGGCGACGATGAGACCATTGCCTGCGAGGATAATGGATCCGTGATTAGCGAGTACAGCCGCATGCAGAGTGGCGTCATCTCGCCCTCGGAGCTGCCCGATTCACCCACCCAGAGTATGCCGCAGTCGCCGAGAAGGGATCGCAAGTTATCCACTCAAAATAACTCGGAGACTCCGGATCGAAAGGCGGGAAACGTGTTCGAGGACAAGCTCAACAGATTCCACGTGGAGCACACGCCAGCCGCCTTCTCCTGCGCCACCAGCCTGAGTAATCTCAGCATGCTGGATGACTCCAGGACTCCAGGACAGCGTACAGGTGACATCAATGGCAATGGGGATGCTCCTCGCAGCTATTGCACGGAAGACACGCCGGCGCTGCTCTCGAAGGCGCCGAGCAACAGTGATCTTTCCATTCTGTCCATCCCAAACGATATGAATGCCAACGAAGAGCCGCCAGTGCCGGCGCCACGAGCAGATGTGCCCGGAATGGTGGACTCTAGGATTCCAGCAGAGGATGCCATCTCAAAAATGCGCTGTGGCGGCAGTGCGTTGCCCAGTTATTTGCCAGTGTCGGATGAGATGAGCAAGTACTATGTGGAGGACAGTCCCTGCACGTTCTCCGTCATCTCCGGGCTTTCCCATCTCACAGTGGGCTCTTGCACGGCAGGTCCAGTTTCGAAGCTTCCCTTGAGGAATCCAGAGGAGGCACAGGCACCCAAACTTCCGCCCAGACGGAGTGCCGTTCAAGGGGAAGCAGAACCGCGTTTGCCGCCGAAGAAAAGCGACTCCTTAAGCTCACTCTCCATTGACTCGGATGATGACTGCAATCTACTCAGTCAGGTAAAGAAAAATGTGGAAAATATATTAACCACGTTTCGAAAGTCCGTGTTCATCGGCATTTCTAAACGGCTCAAGCGATCGTTTTTAAATTTCTCGCATATTTTTCTGCACTTTTTTCCTTGGAAAGCGTTTTTTCTAATTTTTGAACTTTAAAAATTTGTTCTTTAAGCCGAAAGTCAAATTTGTTAGGTTAAAAATGCATTTTTGACTTTGGAACATCGAAAAAAATTCTCAAAAATATAAAAAATAAAAAACGGGCTTCCCAGGGAGCGGGTTTTTTTTAATTCTGAAGCGAAATGTAAAAACGGAGGTACAGTGAGCACCGCCAAACGCCTATTTTTAATAGTGTTCCAGCAATCGCTTTGCCACCGATATATTAGCCTATAGTATCGGCTATAAAAATAAGTGGATATTATATAAATGACACTTAATAATATACAAAAAATTTGAATTAAATCGATCCAACCAGTTTTTCTATAAAAAAAATTGCAAAGTTAGTCGATTTTTTGGTGCCCCCCTTAATATTTAATTATAAAATTTGATACATGTATTTAATTTTACAAAAAAAACACTTAAGAACAAGTGTAGTTAAAAGTAATCAGTATATTTTTACTACCTTCGGAATAAATGTAATACTTTTCATTTTACAGGCCATTGCGGCGGGAAGCTGTCGACCGCAGCCCAGTGGAGCCAGTACCACCTCCAGTCTGGCCAACGCCAGCACCAGCACTCTTTCCCGGACAAATGGTCACAAGAAGCAGCCGGAGGATGGTGATAAACCGAACTACAGTTCGGATGACTCGCTGGATGACGAGGACGATGATGCGCGGTCCAAGTCGCTCTTCGAGCAATGCATCCTAAGCGGCATGCACAAGTCTAATGATGCCCTGGAGTCGGAGGGCGAGCCGCCGGGGCAGCGGACACAGGACACCAGTGCCCGCGATCGGTTTGTCAGCAACCAGGTGCGCCAAATCGAGTCCATGCTGGCCGGACGTCAGCACTAGAAGCGAATGGATGGGGGGTTAATTGAGAAGCGCATGCATTTGTTTGGTGGCTTTTAATCTTGTAGTCTATGCAATAATATTCTCACGGTCTCAATTTTCCTATAGTTCAGATTAAAAATTTGCACTTAAATTTAACTCTCCAACACGTGTAATATTATGTCTACCCTCTCACGAAAAAATATAAAGGAAACTAAAAGGGGTGATAAGAAATACGGGATACAGTCGCAAATATAAATAAAGAGTTGGGTTCAACTGAGGTCCGGGTTATGAACTCCTAACATGATGCTTTGATGGACTAGAGCTCAGTAGAAACGTTTCCGCGCGTTGCGATCCTTGAAGTAGGAGATGGCGAAGATGGCCACTGCAGCCGCCACGACGACCACGAAGAGAAGGATGAAGAAGATCTTGGCGTTCGACATTCCCGGCTTGGGATCCTCCTTGTGCTCACGCGGCGGCTCAAAGGTCTTGGCATTCGGTATGATATTGGTGCGTCGGATAATGTCATCGTTCTGGGGAAGAAAGAAAATTAAATTAATTAATAAACAAGAGCAAAGTAAAGCGGGTTTTGGGTAACATGATATATGACATATAAAACTCATCTTTATCGCATTTGCTTGACAAACATTCTTTACATTGTGAAAGATTAATATGAACCTGCTAAATTATTGCAAGTTTGAACAATTAAAAACAAGTTCATTCTTTTTTTAGACATATATACGAAACAGATATTGAAACTCAATCCCGCTTGCGGGTTCCTTGCACTCTTAAGCCGATAAGCTGGCAGCTGAGGTTTGCTTAAACTTACATTGATGTTGTTGTCCAGGTCGTAGAACTTGAAGCTGTGGATGTCGTGATTATCGGACAGATCGCCCGTCGTCGCAGACATGCCGAAGTGATAGCCGGTGGGCAGCTCCACATTGGCCACCACGAAGCAGTTCTTCCACTCGTTGCGGTTCTCCAGATCCGTGGACACCGAAAGAATATCGTTTTCGTAACGAATGCTGACCAGCGTCTCGTACTCGACGTTGCGGAAGCGCACCTCGCAGCCGGCCAGCTGGGTGTGGGTTCCATCGCGATCGTGGTCGTAGCTCCAGCTGCCATTGTTCACCATGGCGGAGAGATAGGGATGTTGGTGCTGCAAATTAAAGATTAATAAGGGTTTCTTCATGGTTTTCCTGAGGATTACATTGTGTGGCCCATTGTGATTGCTGTAGGTGTCCAGAATGATGGCCAGCCCGGAAAAGTGATCATTGCTGCCAAAGACCGGTCCCGTTTTCATGCGCTCCTTGGTGTACCAAATGGCGAAGCCATCGCCAAAGAGTTCGGTGCCCTTGCCGTGCACTTTAAAGCCAATGTGCACCTCCCAGTTGCGCGTCATCACGGGCTGGGGATTAGCAAACAATTAGACTCCAGAGGTCAGGGAAAGACCGAATAGCCCACTTACCGAGTAGTTCCAAAGGGCGCCGCTCTTGGACTGCAAATCCGGCGTCAGTCTTATGTAGTTGCTGGTCACCATGGTGTTGCCCAGAAAGTCCCAATGGGGCAGGATGACGCCCACGCCTGGAACGGAGTCGAGACCACGTTATAAGTACACGTACTCCAATCTTATCAAGGGCTTAATTACCCACCTTGGAATGGACGCACCAGACTGTGTTCCCGTTTCATGTAATCCGGCTCCCGGGGATTGTCCTCGCCGAGCACCGCCAAGGGGACGACGAGGAGCGCCAGCAGCAGGGAACAGTGTGCGAGCGACAATTTGGTCATGGCTGCATTCGGTGGCCCCGTTTGGATTAAATCTACATACAGGGAAAATAATATTTGCACAATTCGCTTTTTTTTTTCCGCCGGCCTTTTAGTGTTGGGCAACTGTGAGTCACTTACTGTGATTGGCAACTATCGGTTGACTATCGATTATAGCAGCGTTGCTATCGAAGCTGCTTATCAACCGTTAAGAGGAATGTCTATCGAGTTTAAAAAGTCAAAATAAAATTCCTCAAGTTTCTTGTTTTAAAAGTATATACAATTGTATAGCTCCTCTTTAAAAGTAAAGAGAAAGTAAACTTAATTACATTTTGATTGGATTGCTTTTCGACTCTTCACTTCTGAATGTATAATTTTATTATTTAAATAAATATTTCCTATATAAAGTTAAGGAAAAGTTGATAAACATATTTTCTTATTGTTATACCCTTGTAGAGGGTATTATAATTTCAGTCAGATGTTTGCAACGCAGTGAAGGAGACTTTTCCGACCACATAAAGTATATATATTCTTGATCAGCACCAATAGCCGAGTCTATCTAGCCATGTCCGTCTGTCCGTCTGTCCGTCTGTCCGTCTGTCCGTCTGTCCGTTTCTATGCGAACTAGTCTCTCAGTTTTAAAGCTATCGCGATGAAACTTTCCCGAAGGTCTTCTATGTCGGAGCCAGCCGGATCGGACCACTATATCTTAAGGCTCCCAAACAAATATAAGAAAATTCATTGTAACTTTGTAGGAAGTAGGCGTTTTGATTCTTGACTACTTAAAAACAAAATTGAAATAAATCGAAACGCTGAATCTGGAATCCCTGGAACTGCACCGAGTGAGTATTCTTTTATCTACAAGGGTATATAAGCTTCGGCTGGCCGAAGGTAGCTTCCTTTCTTGTTTTTTCTATGAAGTTTGGCGTGTTAATGTTTTCTTTGCATAAAAATCAAGAAAAACAGGACTTGAAAAATGGTACATTGAATTTTGTAAATTTAAATGAGAAAAACAGTTGTGTGTATGAGAAAATATACGAATAATAATAAATACAGAAAACCACCTTAATTAAGCTGTAATAATAATAATTTTCTATTTTTGTGTAGTAATTTCGGAAGACAAATATGGCACAATTTGCAGACTGTAAATACTGTACAAAGCGGAAGTGCAGCTAAGACTGCTAAATTGATGAATGCAAATTATTGTTTTGGACAGTTTCCACCTACCCCCCTGCCCCTCCCTCATTTTGGCGCCTAATTCCCGTGTCCAACCAGTTTGCATATTAATAACTCTGAATCGGATTACAACGCCAACAACGACGCACAGCCAGTTTGTCAGTTTGCGAGACGTTTTTATGGCTTATTGCACACGCACATTGGCGCCTTCACGCCTCGGGTCTTTCTCGGCTCTAAGATCTCGGAGCTCAGATCTCAACTGGCGGGAAAACGGGGCGGGAAAACCAGTTCCAAGTGCGCCAAGAGTTTTCCTCCTCGGCATGCGTTAGCCGTCGACTTTTCGGGGTCACTGTCAAGGTCGCGAAACGTGAGAATTTACTACTGCTGTATAGCAAATGCAAATGCAGCAGGAACTTTGGAATGCAGCTGCATCGGATCGAAATGTGGCTTTATAATTACCGATTCAAATGCACATTTGGGCACAATTAGCAGCTAACGGTGCACAATATGTGTATGTGTCACCTGTGAAAGGCGGCGGAGATTCGCGGAGGTTGCTTCCTCAACACGCCGCTAATTGGCATATAACGTGCCTAATTATATCAGTCATTTATGAAATCATTTCACTTTTCACCTCTCTCGAAAGGCGACTACAACAACCACAGGTGCATTTTATCTGAGCCAGTTTCCGCCGAGATATATGTAATTTTCGAGTCATTCGTTCTTGTCGCCCCGGCGCAAATTTGACTCACCTGTGCGATCAATCGACTTGACTTCCTCATGGATTCGAGTGAGATATGGCGGTTATTTCGGGTCCAGCATTTCGATTTCGGGGAGTGGCGATCCGAAAAGCTCCCGCTTTTTAATGATTAATGGCCCGTGGGCCACAGAGTTTTCCAACAGGATGTGGCAATTATCATGGCTAGATTCTCGCATCATCGGTTATTTATAGAACACCCGGCTAGATAGAAGATAGAATCTGGCAATTAGTAGTGGCTCGCTTAAAAGCTCATTTATAAACTGCGGCTATCGGTTGGTTATTGGCTGTCATGTGCGGACAAGTTCAGGCCCAAACAAGCCGCACTTTTCAATTCCTCAAAGTGGCAATAACCTGGGGCGGCCGGGCCAAGACAGGCCAAATCTGAGGCCGCTCGGTGTGATTGATAACCTGTGTGTGCTACCTGCTGCCAAATAAGCAAAAAAAAGCAAAGAAAGCCAAGCCAAAAGTGCGCGCAAGGCAATTGGCTAATTGATTCAGCATAAATCAATGGCAATCAACAATTAGCCGCATTAATTGCCTCGCTTACAGCAATTGAAACTGAACTTGACCCTCTCGCCGTGGAGTGGATTCAAGTGAAGACAATGCAAAAACCAAAGAGAAGAGAACAGAACGGAAGGCCAGTAAAACAATACAATACCCTGGCCAAATGTTTGATCATGGAGCTAACTGCAGGGGATTACCCTAGATTATGCGAAAAAAGTAGTTTCAGTCTTTGAAGAAACTAGATTTAGGCACTATAAATATTATCTTAAATAAATAATAAATTGTAAAAAAATGATAATTATAATCAGTTAAGAAGTGTTAGAGCTTGGATATATGTATGTTATTAGGAGGTTACCTATAAGGGATTTTAATTGTAATATATTATAGTGCTTTCATCCCACTAAAACAGAAATACGATTCTAATAATACTATTAATTAAATTATGAAATATCTGAATATTTTAGCTATTATATCAAAGGAAGTAAATTATTATTTAAAAAAAGGTTATGGAAATATTTTAAGAAAAATGAATATAAATGAATATAAGTGAATGAATAAAATAATATGAAAATATTAAAGATAGCTCTATAACTCAAATTGGTAATGAATTTAACACACTGAAATATTAAAATTTATATTTATGATATGACATGATACGATATGATATGGTTGTAATACATATTATGAAAAACTTTCTTATAAGTTAAAACTGCTACATCTTTTTCAAGATCTCCTAAAATTTTAATAGAATAAACATAAGAATAATCTGAGGATCTAATGGATTGTGCATTAGATGGTATAACCCTTTGTGAAGAGTATCGTATCGGTTATTAGTCAATCGCTTCGACTTTGGCGGTTGCAGCCCAGCCAAGGAGCTTTTGTGGCCAGCTGAGATTTGAACTTGAACTTGCTCCAGCTACCCCTCCCTGCCCCTTCCCAGCATTCGGTTCCCCTCGAC